TCAAGAGGAGAGACATGCTTGGAAATTCCAACTTGCCAAACAAAGTGTGCCGATGAGATCTTCAAAGTAATCAGAGCTTTGTCATACCTGTATCAGTGTCCTGAGTCACTTTCTCCCTCTTTAATGGATCACTCCCATCATCACACATCTTAATATGCTATCCTCGCTAAAAACACACATTTACTTACACAGCACTTACTATGTGCTGAGGATGTCTCACTAGTCTGTACCCCAACTTCATTATTTGTAACACTAAACAAAGGTGTTTTAAAAACAAGGAGAACTCAAGATAAACACAGATGCTTATGTAGGGGATACAGGAAACTATCCCTAAGAAAGTATTTGCTTTCACAATTCTTCTGACAGTAAAACTTTTTTGGTTAGCACTTAGAAGATATTTCCCAAAGTACACAAATTACCACCAATTACATATTTAAATTATGATACTTACTGAAACTGTAGCACATTCGTTTCAAGTCCTAACCTATTTAGCTATTAGTAAAAAACAATATGTAGAATTTTACCTTCAGCTTTAACATTTCAAAAAATTAAGGCCTTTATACATATCTTCCTCACTCTTTCCTATCAATAGAAACTGCAGATTCACCCCCAGAAATGGTAAAATAAATTTAGATCTATTCGTGTAAGTATTCAAAATCAAGAACAAAGTTACGTTAACGTATGCCCTAGTGTGGCAAATCCAGTTGAGGTTTGGTAGGGAAAAGAAAAATAATAAAATTAAATCAGGCAGAAATGTCTACATATGTTTCTTTTTGAGACAGAATGCACAGAGCTATGTAGCCAAGGCTGGCCTCAAACTTGTGACCCTCCTGCCTCAGTCTCCCAAGTGCTAGGGTTAAAGGCATAAATTCTTAAATCAGGTTTTAATCTGAGTCACAAGTAAAATAAAAACACTGACTCAACTGGAATATGTGCAAGGAGATATTTATAATGTAAAATAAACCAAAATGGTTAAACCAAATGCTGATATCAAACTTAAAACCATAAACTTCAATAATAGACAGACTCGAGAATCTTATATCTACCACCTTTCTCTGCAGAATTAAAAGTTTTTGGTATAGCTGGGTGCGGGTGGCTCATGCCTGTAAATCTTAGCTACTCAGGAGGCAGAGATCAGAAGGATCACAGTGTGAAACCCGCCTGGGCAAATTGTTCATGAGACCCTATCTCAAAAAAACCCTTCACAAAAAAAGGCCTGGTGGAGTGGTTCAAGGTACAGGCCCTGAGTTCAAACCCCAAAAGAAAAAAAAATTTTCTTGCATATATCCTCTCCATGTATACAAGAAATAAATTAAGAGGTATAAACTTTTTCTTAGATTAAAAACATAATTTACCTCCTTTATGAGGTAAATTGCTTCATGTAAAACCAGAGAGAACATTTAGTCCTATCCAGCTCAGAAAACAAAGCAGAGACACAGTATTATATGTATCAAAATATGGTTTGGGAATAATACCTCACCAGAAAATCCAAAGCTCTAGATGCTGTTCCATGACTCTGTGCTGATGGCTTCCTGAGTGAGGTTATTGTGTATTTTTTAAACATGTGCCAATCTATGTGAGTGCTGTGCTTCTTGCTCTTCGTACATCTACTCCATCATGAATCCAGATCTCAATGTCTTCATGTGTATCTTTTTACTTACTATTGAATTTATCCCTTCCATATTCCTTATAAGTTCCTACAGTCAATATAATTTTTGAAGCTCAACCTTCAATGATTTAAAGGCCTATTAGGCAGAACTTGAAATTCACTTTTATTTAAAAAGCAGGTAAGTAGCTCTTACATTTCCTTTAAAAGTAACTGTAAAGAAAAAAAATGTTAAAAGGAAAAAAAAACCTTGGAATTTCTGTTTTCATGCTGCTTATTATTCTGTTTTTATCCAGCAAAATAGAAAAGAAAAATGCTCAAAGAATTACAATTCAAAGGAGACTGTGATAAAGTCTCTTAAGTAAGCCAGCAGAACTCAAACGAAGGAAAAACCACTTCCAACCGAACATACCTAGTATTTGGGGTGGCAGTGGCCTTTTGAGGGTGGCTTGCAAGCTAAGCACTCTAAACAGAAAGGGCAGTAGAACTCCTCGGACAAACAGGGACTAGCTATCAGTTTGTCTGAATGCTTGCCTGCACTGAGGAAAACAATCAACTCATTAATAAAAACAGAAACTGCCACGAAGCAATACTCACCTTGGGATTTTATAAGCCCCTGCCTTTCAAGCCTTCTCTTACTCGCATGTTTGTAAGACTAAGTTGAAAAGCTGAGAGCAAAGCCATTCACAGCACCATAAAACTGTCAAAAGTAAAATAGTAACTATCATCAAAACTACAAGTAGTATCTTCTTTTCATTTTATACTTGCTCAGCAGAGCTGAATTCTATTCCAAGCATTGGTTCTGGGTCTTTAGCCTCAACATTATCTGTGAAACCCACTTGATATTCATCTACAGAAGACAGTGTGAAAAAGTGGGCCTGAGATTGGGTTGTAGAGAACTTTGGGAGCCAGGCTTGTCACTGTGCAGAAGACGCTAAGGCATTTAAAAAGGAAACTGCAGGGCTGTAGGTGTAGAAGATGGAATGAAATGAAGGGGTATGAAGAAAACAAGGGTTTGGCAACAGGAGTGGCTCATTTGCAAAAAACTGACAGGTGAAATAAGTTGGTAGCTATTTGCATGTGGGGTGTGAGGCAGGAGGAGGATTTAACATTGCCTCAAGGTTTTATTCCTAGATAACCAGAGAAACAGCTAGAGGTGGGGGCAGGGGAGAACAGGACAAAATGACATTGAATCACTTTAGTAATTACTAGTCTTGCTGGAAATCTCTTCAGCAGATCCACACATTTGATACTTTCTAGGTGCCAAGGCATTGTTTCCAGGCACTAAGGATACGACAGTGAACACAACTGCTTAGCCACATGAAACTTACCCTCTAATGACACACAACAGATAGTAATTATATAAACAAGTAAATATATATTATAGGAAGTGTGGAGTTGCATGCAACTTTAAAGAGGAAGGTAACATCTGAACAAATACCCATAGGTGAGCTATGCAAAGAACTGGGGTAGTCAGCAACTAGACACCAGTTATCTCAAAATAATTTCCCTCCACACTGCTTTTGAAGTTAGCAGAAATGTTGCAACACACTTCTTCAAGACCAGTCCTATTTCCTTGGGCTAGTTTTAGGATTCCACTTCCTGACTGAAAACTTCACCAATAACAGTGATTAACAAACTGCCAACTAGGTCAATTTGTTGATAGTGGCTATTTACCTCCTCCTGTACATGGGAGAAAAGAGCTGCATTTTAAGCAACAAAACCAAAGCACTGTTAGAACATGTTTGTACAAAGCTGAGAAGACAATCATCTTGTTCTCAAAGCAGTAATTGATGTAGCAACTTTGAGACTTGTGATTTAAATCAAAGGTGCTGAAGAATGATTATGAATCATGCAATCAAGCTACCCAGCAGGATGTTGCTGAGAGGAAAGCCATTCACAGCACCATAAAACTGTCAAAAGTAAAAATAGTAACTATCATCAAAACTACAAGTAATATCTTCTTTTCATTTTATACTTGTTGCTCAGCAGAGCTGAATTCTATTCCAAGTATTGGTTCTGGGTCTTTAGCCTCAACATTATCTGTGAAACCCACTTGATTTTTTTCAGACCTCCTTCAATTTTGAGGTTCTATGTGGCAAGCTATGGTTCACATGGTATTTACCTATTTTGGGTGCTCTGGTTTACCTACTCTTTCAATAACAGTACCTCCTCCAAATAATACAATTACAAGTTTCATAGAAAGTGACAGGAACTGCTTTTAAACAAATCTACCTGGGCTTGGTGCTTAAGAGGCTACACCCACCCTAAAGGTGGCTTCTGTCGTTCCTCTTCTAGAACAGCCTTCACAGTGCAGGGGTGTAGCTCAAGGGACTGGTTATCTAGCATGTGGGAGGCCCTGGGTCAAAAAACAAACAAAAAAGAACTAAGGCGTTCCTAACATTTGAGAGTGAATTTGCTATGGAACGAGGTGCTACCTTATTATACAGAGAAAAGTACTGAGACCTTTAAGAATCAGTTCACAAAAACTATCACAAGCCAGATACGGTGGCCACGCCTGTCAGCACTCCAGAGGCTGAAGCGGGATTGAGAGTTACAGCTGTAGCCTGGGTGGGCTACAAAGCAAGACTCTATCTAAAAAAAAAAAACCAATACAAACAAACAACAACAACAAAAACTCTGCTCGCAAGATATCCAGCATTTCTAGCAACAGCCCTGAGGAAAAAGCACAGGTTTTCCAGTGATGACAACTTTGGAGATAATTGCTCACCTGAACGCATCATAAAGAAAAGAACACGTATACTGTTGCCAGGCACGAGGTATTAACTCGATCTTTACATCAGTCTTTACAACAATCCTAACGGCTGGAACTATCCTCACCATTTTACCTAGGCGAGAGCTAAGGCACACTGAAGTTAAGCAAGTCGCCGAGTTTCAACAGCAGACTGGAACCCAAGCCCTGCCGCTACGAAGCGCCATCACGCTTCATCTCCACGGGGCTGCGTGAAGCCTTACGGGTCGCACCTCTCCCGCAAGCTCAACAGCACAAAGTCAACATGAAGTCATCCCGCAAGCTTGCTATGGAGTTTCGGTCCTGAACCACGGACACCAAACTTAGGTTAAAGAATGTAAGATCTTCGCAGTACCCGCGGTTTCTGGAGATTAGGGGGAGCGAGTCTGCGTGGCACTACCCAAACCTCCTCCGCCCCAGCAAAAGCGCTGTGAACCAGTGGTGGGGAGCAAGAGCTCGACCCGACGAGGTTCGAGGTCCCCCTCCCGGAGGCTCCCGCGCGGGCCCCCCACCGCCCTCTTCACCCCGGTGCGGAGGGTTCACCCCGCCGCGCGTGCAAAGCGCACCTGCCTCCCGCAGCCAGCCCGCGGGGCCCCTCCCTACCCGGGGTCCCGGCGTGATCTCGGCGGGCCACTCGCTTACCTTCGGGGACCCTCCCCTTGCGCGTGGCGAGCGGGAGGCGCCAACGCAGCTGCGCCGCACTCGCCCCGCTCCGGGCAGTGCCACGCGCCCCCAGCGGCGTCCGCCAGGCTCCCCGCCCGGACCCCGCCCTCCCCCGCCCCCGCCAATCACCGGTGCCACCGCCCAAGCGAGGGGGCGTGGCTTCAGCGCTCTCCCCGCGTGGAGCCCTGCCGAGGGACCCGCGGACAGCAGCCCGGGAGGCGCTGAGGAAATAAATTGGGAGGTGACGGGGCTGGGGACGTGCGGCTCTGGGCGGGGAAGAGCTGCACCCACGCACACCTGCGAGGGAACTGGAGGGAGCGACCAGCTAAAGTGTCGGGCCAGGTGGGATCTTAAAAGTACAAAGTTTACTAATTCGGGACATTGGCCTTATCTTATTCTCCTCTGGTGGCGTCGGAGTCACAGGAATGCAGCTTTCCGCGTGAGAAGTCGTTGGGAAATGGTATTCATAAAAAGAAAGGAAGTCATTCCTTTGCTCACTTCCACGCGTCCTCTCGCTTCCTTTTAAAAACTGATTTCCGTTAGGAATTCTCACCCAGGCTTAAATTAATGTTAATCATTCACTCTCCCTTCAAACAGCTGGGAGGGGTTTGGCAAGATTAAAAACTGTAGGAGGCATTGTTTAGGACTAGGCTTTTGCACTGGGCCCCAACAGTCTACAGACTTAGAAATCAAAATGCTAATGTTCCGTGTTACCAAATACAGACCAAGTTGTTACCTAACCTTCCAGACAGGAAAATGAGATAGCCAAATTCTTAAACTGCTCAATGACTGTGACATTCCCTCAGCTTTAATCCTTACATCCTCTAATCCTTTAAAAAGTAACCTGAAGTAATCTGCTTGTTAACCAGTTGGTTTTTATTGTTCTGTTTCTCTGTCCCCACCGTACAAGGAAATCAGCTTTCCAAATAACCGATCTGTTTTTTTCTAGGATTCTATTTTCTTCAGCCTTCTCTGTCTATAAGACCAGCCTCCTCTACTAAGCCCATTGGAACACTCCTAGTTCATAAAATGAAGTGTGGCTTGGTTCTACAATAGCAAAATAAAGCCACTTAAGACCTTTACTTAAATTGCTGTAATTTTATGGATTGTTTTGTTTTGGCAGAACTGGCACTTGAGCTCACAGCCTTACACTTGCTAGGCAGGCACTCTGCCACTTGAGCCACTCCACTAGCCTGTAATTTTAATTTTGGGTGTTTTTGACAACATGAATGTCCATGGTGTACTACTTGAAAGTTTGTGACTGGGCATATTGATAAAGGAAACCAAAATCATTTGAAAGGAATTGTTCAGGCTACCCTGGATCTCTCAATCCTGTCTCAGCCTCCCAAGTGCTGGGATTACAGACATATGCCTCCATCCCTGGCTGGAAAAATAAACTTATTAATAAACCATGCTTGTTTAGAAGATTAAATCTTTGACATTCATGGAGAAAAAAAGGGGGAGAGGGACTGGGGATGTAGCTCAGTGATAAAAGCACTTGCCTTGTATGCATGAGCCCATGGGTTCAATCCCCAGCATGCAAAAAAAAAAAATCTTTTTTAATGTAGTTTATCTACTCCACTACCTGTTGCACAAACACATGATAAATCCATAGAGAATGCTTTAAAATATGTGAAATAGATCTATGATTATTTTCAACTTTCCTTACGCTGTCTCTCTCCCTTTACTGTAACTAAAATACTAGTCTTTTTTCATGGAAATATTTTAATGAAAGTTTCCCCTTTTAATTTCAAAGAAATTCTCAAGAATAAGATAAATACGAATCATGCAATACTTTTCAGTTGGACTAGAAGGTTTTCAGCATTCCAGATACGAACCTTGAAATTATAGTAAATTCCCCATGTTAGGGGAGCTCCACACACTAGGAAGATGGTGAAAGAGTAAACTTTCCTTAACTGCAGCCTTACCCAGATAGCACAAGTGGAAGCAAAACCAAGTTTGCAAAATGCTACTAAGAGTGAAAACTGATTTGCTATCTATCAATGGCCCCTTGTATTTTGAAAATGTCACTGGTACATTTCAAGGAGGCCCCAGAGCTCTGAAGTCTAGCCCAAGTAATCTACAAATCACTACTCACAGCAAACATTTATTATGTTGTAGAGACTTAAGACATATTAAATAGGCAGACTAAACAGCAGTCACACTTTATTTTATAGAGTGGTTGTACCAGTGGCTATTGGTTACAGGCTCTGGGAACTTTTATTCTCAAAGTGTGACATAACTATTAAGAGTAGAGCTTTGGGGGACTTCTAAAGCCAAGATGGAGTAACAAGGACCATGTTAACACTCTCATCCGAAGCAAAGGGAAAAAGAGCCAGAGAAAATATAAAAAACAACAGTTTCCAAGATATTGGATATCAGGAAATGAAGGAAAGTAACCCCTCAGAGATGAAAAATAAGCAAGGTTTATCCTAGCTTATTATGTTTAGAGAGCTCGCTGGTCATGGTACAGGATGAGGGAATACAAGGGAGCCCAAGCAGACTTCTTAAGTTGAGGAAATGGAACTATAAATCCAAGGAGAACAAGATGGCTAGAGTTCACAAGACAGAGGACAAGCAACAGTTAACTGCACAGAGAACCCCAGGGATCTGCAGGTCCTTCTTGAGAATTTGACAGTACTGATTGGTGCATGCATACAAAGAAACCATAAAAGATCCAGGAAAGAACAAACCATCTGAAAGCATTACAGATGCTAGGCACTCACACAGGTCCAAGAAAAGAGGCTGTTGTTATCAGACCAACTACAAGAACTTCCAGTTCAATGGAGCAGAGAATATAGTGGGGTCTTATCTTAGTATTGGGGTGGAATTAATCCTAGCCTAAATGCTGTTTGGGTCCCACCAAAAAAAAAAAAAACTATAGAGGTAAAGCCCAAAAAGATCAATACTATTTCCAAGCAATTTAACTTGATTAAAAATTCAAGTACATTTATTGAAAAATAAAACTATCCAGCTCCTAAAAAGGTAAAATTTCACAACATCTGACATTCAGTGGTCAAAATTGAATATCTGGCTTGCATTCGGTATTACAAGGCATGCACAGAAAGAGAAAAATATGACACATAAAAAGAAGAAACATCAATCACTGGAAGTGACCTACAACTGACATAGATGTTAGAATTAGCAGAATAGAATAGTAAAACAGTTACTATTCTGGAAATAAGCTCAAAAAGTTAAGTAGGGACAAGGAAAGTATAAAATTTCCAAATCCAACTGCAAGAAACAAAAACAAAAATCTCTAAGGTGAAAATTACACTGGGTGGGATTAACAGAAGAGTAGACATTGCAGACGAAAAGATTAACAAACTGGAAGACAGCAACAGAAACTTACTAAAATGAACTACAGAGAAAACAGAATTAAAAGACAAAAGAATCAGTGAGCTGTGGACAATTTTAAGCAGCTTAGATACTTGTAACTGGAATCCCTAAAGAGAAAATAGACGTGGTGCTAGGGGAAGAGACCAGAAAAGAGATTTGAAGAGATTACAGCTGACAGTTTTTCAAATCTGTTGAAAGTCAAGCTCACAGACCTTATAAGTTCAATGAATTAAAATACTAGGAACATGAAGAAAACTATACCAAGACACATCATAATGAAATTAGTACAAACAGGTAATAAAAAGAAAAGCTTAATAGCATCCAGAAAAAAAGTTTTATGACAGCAGATTTCTCTCTAAGAGTGCAAGCTAGAAGACAATGAAGCAGTATCTTTAAAGTACTGAATTTTAGAAACCCCAGGAATTCTATACCCAGCAAAAGTATCTTTCAAAACTGAAAGCAATATAAAGGTTTTTCCAGACATACAAAAGCTAAAAGAGTTCATAACTCAGACAAGAAATGTTCAAGAAAGCCCTTCCAACATAAGGAAAATTATTCCTTATTTTTGGAAATAAAGATCTACACAAGGAATGAAGAGTCCTAGAAACAGTAACAATAGGGATAAACATATAGTTTATTTTTTTATCATTTAAATCTCCTTAAAATATAACAACTGTTTAAAAAGATGCCAATAATTTATTGTGAATTTTATAGCCAATGTTTAGGTAAATATATGACCTCAATATGTAAAGGCTGGAAGAAGAGACTTGGAAGTCCCAGAATTAATGGAGCCAAGGACAATGAACTACAATCTCTGAAACCATGAGCCAAAATAAATCTTTCCTCCTTTAACTTGCTTATGTTAGCATTCTGTCACTGTGACAAGAAAATCTGCACTTCAAATATGAGAACACAAATACATTAAAAGAAAAAGGATGGGAAAAGATACACTATGCTAATGCCAGTCCAAATCAAGCTTAAATAACTATTAATATCTTAAAAGTGTTTTGGAATAAATAATATTACCATTGAAAAAGAACATCATTTCATAATGATATCAAGAAGACATAACAATCCTAAACAATGTACCTAATAAGAGAGCTTCAAAATGCATGAGCAAAAGCTGTAACAACTTCAAGGAGAAATAAACACATCCATAATTACAGTCAGAAGTTTCAAAGCCTCTCTCATAATATTAGCATAAGTGGACAGAAAAATAGCAAGGATACAGAAGACCCAAACAACATTATCAACCATCTTAGCCTAACTAATATTTATAGAATATCCCCCAAAAGAAAACTATACATTCTTTTCAAGTATACACAGGATATTTTCCAAAACATCATATTCTGAGCCATAAAATAAGTTTCAGTTACAGGAAAAAGTCATATAAAAGTATAGTCATTGTGGGGGGAGAGAAGAAGGAGGGAGGTGGCACAATGTATACACATGTAAGTAAATGTAAAAACTATAAAAGAAAAAAGTATATTCTTTAAATAAAATGAATTTTTTGGATGGTACTAGAGTATGAACTCAGGGTTTCACTCTTGCTAGGCAGGAGTTCTACCACTTGAGCCATGCCTCCTAATAAAATTAAATTACATTAGAAATCACTAACAGAAAGATAGCTGGGTATCTCCAAATACTTTGATCAAAATTTATGATTCCAATAACCCATGGGTCAAAGAAAAAATCATAAGGAAAATGAAT